TTCTAACTATTTTGAAATTTATTGTATTATTTACCACACCAAACCAAAATTTATTTGTGTGTTATATAATTTCCATATCTATGAGAAGTTTCTGTAAGTATCCTTTCATTATTAATTCATTTTTATGTTGAGAGCACATAATCTGGAACATGGGGTTTTGGGGAGACTATTAAGGCTTTCTTTGGGGCCTAGTTCATGGTCAATTTTGGGTGTTTCATGTGTTTCTGAAAAGGACATATAACTTCTGCATTTTGAGTATACAGTTCTATATCTCTTGAATTGAAGTAAATCATTATCTTATCTAAATTCTGTAAATCTATACTTGTTTTTGTCCGCTTAATCCATCGGTTTTCAGAGATGGATGTTAAAATCTCTAGAAATAACTGATGTATTCCTCCCCTTAATTCTGTCAGTTTCTGAATTTATATATTTGGAGGCTATATTGTAGAATGCAAATGTGCCTTTGATCATTATACTTCTATTATTAGCAGCATTTAATTTTCTTCTTTATCTTTTACTCATGTCTTTCAGGGAATTCTATTTTGTTTCTTATTAAAATTGCAATTTTAGTTTTCTTTTGGTTCATTATTGCCTCATATCTTTTTCCTTCCCTTTATTTTCAATCTTCCATCTTCCATTTCACTTCATAGACAATTTGCTAATCTGATTTTGTAATCTGAGATTGGTGAGTTTAACCCACTTATATTTATTGTAATTATCATGACAGGATATGTTTGCCGTTTTATGTCATTTATTCTGTTTACTTTTCTTTCTTATTTTGCTTCTTATTTTTGTATTTTGCTTTCCATTTTATATATTGGATTTTCTTCTGCTGCTTTTACAGCTGTATCTTTCAAAGGGTTAACCTGATTATCGAAATTCTTAAATACATTTATGTTTTGCTTATCAATTTCAAAACTTTTCAGTGATAATATCTGCTTCCTAATAAGAAAAGTACTTAATCATGCTCTCAGCTCTCTTTACCTCTTTACTTTCTTCCTCCATCTCCTGTCAAGATCACATTGTAGACTGTAACACCTGAATTTTTATGGATATACTTATGTTTTTCTCTATTTTTGTGGAATCTTCATGGATCTCCTACCATCATGGCAGAGGGATGCAACATATATGCTACTCTGCCAGTTTTTAAAGAACTATTTGAATTTATCTCAGCATTTGCCCATAATTTGCATTCTAATTTTTCTTTCTGATTCCTGGATTCTAGAAATTGATGTTGTTATCAATCCCAATTAATTATGGAGTTTGGAGAACAGTTTAAACTGTTTACAATTTGTTACTATTAGGATTTCATTCTTTCGTGAGAGCATAAGGTGATATATTAGAAATAGAGGAGAAAGAAAATTCTTCAGTAAAATTTAAATGCCCTATTTTCTGTACTAAGTGGAATCCAGGGGACCAAGAGAATCATGCTAGGTCTCCTGGCTTTTCTTACTTCCTTCTGAGTAAATTATTGATGCTGTCTAATTAACCTATGCATCAGATAGGTAATGTCCAGATCAACCGTGTCTCAGCCTATGAGGCTGTACAGTTATTCATATCTTTTAAATACTTGTGCCAAGAAAATGCCAATTAGATGACATTTTTGTTAAAAATGTATTGCATCATTTTGTGAAGAAAGCTGCTTTTGTTTTCTCAGCTATGAGTTAATCAGGGAAGTAGAGGGAATACAGAAGAACTCTCAAAGCGAATTCTTTGAGCAGACAGCCATGCTCATGCTGAAGTGAGTGGGACACAAAAAGTGCCAGTGGGGAATTATAGTCTTCATTTCTACTTATAGGAATTTCAAGCAACCATGAAAAGGTGGGGGAATTTTTGGAGAGAATGGAGGAATCTGTGCTACTCTTGAAATAATACCAAATCACTTAAAATATGTTTGCTTTGGGGGTAGGCCCCATGGCATAGTGGATAAGTTCAGTGTGCTCCGCTTTGGTGGTCGAGAGTTTGCAGGTTCAGATCCTGGGGGCAGATGTACGCACTGCCTATCAAGCCATGCTATGGCAGGCGTCCCACATATAAAGTAGAGGAAGATGGGCATGGATGTTAGCCCAGGGCCAATTTTCCTCAGCAAAAAGAGGAAGATTGGCAACAGACATTAGCTCAGGGCTAATCTTCCTCACCAAAAAAAAAAAAAAGAGAGAGAAAGTAAATAATAAGAAGTGTGTGGAAATTAGACTTATGGAATTTAGAAGCAGAGGAATTAGAGATGACTTGGAATTCTGGAGCATTTTAGGTGACTGACACAAGGAGATTAGTCCTGACAGATTTCAGGGCAGATGGTCTCAGTGAAACTATGAGCATCAAAATTAGGAGGGGTGGCAACTGGGTTCCCTCGTGACCCCTTGTCATGGAGGCAAACTGGAGAAGCAGACTCTTACTTGAGTACCTGCATCTCCTGCTTCATTTCTATTGATGGGTTTAAGGTGATCAGAGAAAGCTGAGTGTCCCTCTGTGCACAGTTCACCCCCTTGAGCTCCCTCAGTGGAGCATAGCAGGCCCAGAGAGACATGGTTTTGGATCCAGTGCCTTGGCCTCACTCTTGTCCCCTCCTGGGGGAGCTGGTATTTTACTCAGAGGCATAGGGTTCTCTCTTCCCTAGTATTTATACTCCTATTCAATAAATGCCATTGAAATAAGAATTACTATTTATTCTGGATTCTTGGATTCTCAAGTAGATCAAATAATCTGAGCTATATGTTTTCATGTTCCTTTCCTTCACTGTACATATCACATCTGTAAATATAAATTTATTCCTTTAATTTGTCTCATTTTATAATTTTATGACATTTTATAATTTAATTTTGTTAATGGTCTTCTCCTCCTTTAAAGTGTAAGCTACATGAGGTGGTGTCCATCTTTGTTTTTGTTACTATTATATTTCATTTTGCTTAACAGATATTTGACACTCAATAATTGTTGAATAAATAAACGTTTGAGATGTTGCCTTTATTTTCTTTGCAATGTATTTTATTTTATTTTATTTTTTTGTGGGGAAGACCAGCCCTGAGCTAACATCTGATACTAGTCCTCCTCTTTTTTTTTTGTGAGGAAGACTGGCCCTGGGCTAACATCCATGCCCATCTTCCTCTACTTTATATGGGACGCTGCCACAGCATGGCTTAACAAGCGGTGCGTCAGTGCACGCCCGGGATCCGAACTGGCCAACCCTGGGCCACCGCAGCAGAGCGCGCGCACTTAACCACTTGCCCCACTGGGCCGGCCCCTTTGCAATGTTTTAAAAAGCAACTCCATAGTTTTCTCTCTTTATTTATTTATTTATTTATTTTTTGAGGAAGATCAACCCTGAGCTAACATCCATGCCAATCCTCCTCTTTTTACTGAGGAAGACTGGCCCTAAGCCAACATCTATTGTCAATCCTCCTCCTTTTTTTCCCCTTTTTCTCCCCAAAGCCCCAGTAGATAGTTGTATGTCGTAGTTGCACATGCTGCTGCATGTGGGACGCCACCTCAGCATAGCTGGACAAGCGGTGCTTCGGTGCGCGCCCAGGTTCCGAACCCGGACCGCCAGTATCGGATCACGCACACCTAACTGCTAAGCCATGAGGCCGGCCCCTCTCTTTATTTTTTACTGAGACAAGATCCCCTCAGACTTGTTACATAGTAACCTAGCATGTGGGTGGTTTTTCCGCATTTCTGCTTGTGTGATTAATGAATCTTCTCTCAACTCTACAGCTTGAGAATAGGTTAATGTATATAACTTCTAGGCCAATTCTCAGATTCTAGCAGGAATCCATGATATGTGACGTCACTATATTCAGGAATATCTTCTCCTGTCCTGTGGCTTGTTTTTCTGTCTCTCTCTATCAAGGGCTCTATAAGGATTTTTTTTTTTAAGGGAGATGTCCAGGCTGCATTACAAATGTTTTGAATCAGAATCTCTGGGGTAGTTACATGATTGGTTTCTTTAAAAAAATGTTTTACAGGTGATTCCGATGCCCCTCAAATTTTTTTTAACCTACTGAGAATAAAAACTACAATTTCTAGCATTCACCATAATAAAGCTGCTGTCACTAGCAAATGCAATATTCAACTATTTGTTCTCATTCACTTTCCTCCTTCTGCTGCTTGTGGTGATGTGAAGGATGTCTCTTTGCACCAATAACAAACAAATAAACACACAAAAAATCATGCAGTTGAGAGATAGCTGGGAAATTATCCGGGGCAGACTCCACTTCTTCCAGACAGCAGACAGATGGAATGAAGACAGTTTTTAAATGGGCTTTGCTTTCTCAAGTTAATGTCAGTTTTTCTCTACCCATTTCCATGGGCCCAAAAGAAGCTTAACACATTCTGTGATAGCTTATCTTATAGTCATAGCTTGCAAATTTTCGATTATCCCTATTTCTTCAGCAGTATTTTAACGTGAGATCAGAGGTTGCTAGTCAAAAACAACTTCAGATTATATTTAATAAGGTTTGTGAAATATTTGACTTAATACGTGAATGACAAACATCATGATAGCATAAATCCTTCATCATACTAGGCGTCAAGCTTGAGTAACATGGTCCAAACTGTTTTAAAAAAAGGCTTCTCTCTTTATTTAGGCTATTCATTTCTCTCCTCCCTTTTCACCTCCCCCTATTTTCGAGTCACTGGTTTTATTGGGTTACAATGACCTGAGCAAATTCACAGATATACCTACTGGGGCTTGGTGAAAAGTATTTGCTTGGAAGAAAAGCAAATACTTTTTCTTCCATTATATACCATCCATACCTCTCACTTTAAATCTGTATGGATCATACATTCAAATCTTAACCACAAATGCATAGCTGTATCCTAACAATGAGAACTCTCATTCCTTTTCATTGATAATTGATTTTATTACTATAAATTCATAGGTGATTCATTGTTCCATCATCACTAAAGAGTGTGAAGTATGTCAGTGAAAGGAGGGGGAACCGCTCAAAAATAACATCTTCCTGAATTAATACAACGTTGGCTGGAAACAACAGCAACAGAAGAATTTTTTTCTCCCCTTATATATGTGTTTCATTCTTTGTTCTGGCTGGAGGTGCAGAATGTCCATCATTATTTAAGGATTCTACGTTTGCTTCATTCATGGCTTTTTTTCCATTTTCTGATTGCTTAGTATCTTTTCCTTGATATTTTTTCTTCATAGTGAAAATCAATACAATATATAAAATAAATGCTAAGAATTTTAAGCTGTCCATCAAGCCCCAGTAGGTATATCTGTGAAAAGAGAAAAAGGTCAATTTTCATTTTAAATTGGATGGAACAATTTACAGTGTTGCTCTCCAATATGCAGAAGACCTTAAAAGAAAAAAATGATGTTTGAAATTATACATAAAAATATTAAGGCAGCAATTCTAATGATTCGTCTTATTGAAGCATAAGGAGTTTTTGATTATTTTAAAAGGGATATTAAGCCACAGAAACTGAAGGTGGTTAATGATCTACCCAAGTGCTTTTCATAAGCTAAAGTATATTCAGAATGTTTAACTTTCTCGAAGACAGATTAGTTAATATGTAATGGTAACCGATTATAAAGGAAATGAATGGACTGTGAGATAATCAAATTGAATCCTTTTAGATTGAACCAGGAGCCAATGTTTAGCTTATAGGCTAAATGCAGTCCACAAACCTGTGCCATGTGGCCTACTGGAAGTTTGTAACAAAACCACACAAAATTACTGAGCACACATGGCCTATTCTTGTGAGTCTCAACTTTGGTTGCACACCACAATCACCTGAGGAGATTTTAAAAAAGTGCCATGCCCGGGCCAATTCAGTCACAATTTCTGAAGGTGGGACACAGAAATTAGTATTTTTCAAAGCTCCTCCAGTGATTGTAATGAGCAGGAAAGATTAATGACCACAACCTAATAGGGTAGGAAGCACTAACTGGCCTCATGACATCGTTAACTAAATGTTGACAAGCTTTATGCAAAAAATACTTTGAACAATTATTAGGTTTAACTGAAGATGAATGGAATTAATTGTATAATTTTGAGCTTTTTAAGCTTAGGTGTATTAAAATTGTAATAGGATGTTGTGGTGTACCAAATACGATGAAAGAAGTATTTTAAAAGTTTTCAAATATATTTGCCTCATGCTGGGGTTATATCAAGTAGTTGTACACCAAGGTTAAACTTTTCAAAATTTTCATTGCTATCGAGAAAAATTAATATGGTTTTCTGGTTATGTGACTGTTGTTGAGAAAACATCAATAAGTTGGATGTAGATTTAGGAATGCTATCGTAACGTAGATTTTCACTCCATGGATTAGGAGTTGTGGATATTATTTGTCTATGTTAGATAAAATCAATGAACAATTATCAGGTTGCCTCAAAATATTAAATCCAAAAAATCATAAGGTGACTATTAACTTTTTGTTGTGTATTCACTGGTGAATGCACAGCTCCTTTTAAAAATTCCACTTTAGATAATCGTCAGGCAGTTACTTTGCAAGATACTTGAGGCAATTTTAGGCAACAATCAAAAGGAAAGTGATAAGGGCCATGAGTGAGCTGCAAAGTGCTAAGGGTTCTGAAGAAGGATAGTTATTTCCAGCTGGCTGGAATGGTGCAAACTTTATGAAAGAAGGTCACATAGTTGGAATTATACAGTACAGACCTGTTCAGACTGCCTTCTTTCATTTAGCAATGTGCATTTAAGGTTCTTCCTCCTTGTGTTTTTGTAGCTTGATAACTCATTTCTTTTTATTGCTGAATAACATTCTGTTGCATGAGTGTACACCATTTGTTTATCCAATCACTTATTGAAGGATATCTTGATTGCTTCCATTTTTCGGCAATTATGAATAAAGCTACTATAAAGATTCATGTGCAGGTTTTTGTGGGGGCATAAGTTTCCAACTCATTTGGCTAAACACCAAGGAGCACAATCATTTGATCATACAATAAGCCTATGTTTAGCTTTGTAGGAAACTGTCAGACTGTCTTCCAAAGTGGCTGTACCATTTTGCATTCCCACCGGCAATGAAAGAGAGTTCCTGTTGTTCCACATCCTTGCCAGCATTTGGTACTGTTTATTTTTGTTTTATAAGAGCTGTTGATATATTTAGGATATTTGACTTGTGCCTGTGTCGTGAGTTACAAATTCCTTTGCCAATTTACATTTTGTGTTTGAAATTTGCTTAAGAATTTTTGTAACACAGAGTTCTAAAACTATTTTATCATTTTTTTCTAGTATGGTTTTTCAGGTTTGGGTCATATTTAGAAACACATTCCTACTCCATAGATAATTAAAAGAAATTCTACCATGATTTCTTCTAATACTTGTAGTTTCATATTTTAAATTTATATGTTTGATTAGTCTGCAATTAATTTTTACTTAAGGTTAAGATATTATTGCAACTATTTTTTTCTAGGTGGCCATCCAGTTGTTTTCCTATGAATAGAAGAGTATAGAAACAATTTTTCCCCATTGACCTGTGACCAGAGCCCCAGCAGGTCATTTTGTGTCTTCCTAGAGAAGTCAGAGACTATTGAATACAGGGGTATTTTTTTCTCTCTTTTTTAGTATTAGGAGTGTTTGTGGAAACAGAAAAGATTTGATGACAAATTTCAAATCTTTTTCTATTAGCTGTATGATTTTGAACAACTTACTCATTCTTTTTGAATCTTAGTTTTTTCATATTTAAGGAAAAAGAAAAAATCGATCTCCTACACTTTCTATGAATATTAAAATGAGAGGCCACATTGCCTGATACAACACTGAATACAAAGTTCATTAAATGGTGGCTATAATTATTAATATTATTGTTATACTGAAAATACATCTCATCCTTTAGGAATTAATATAGTCAGAGGAAAAGATCTATTAATGAAATATACTTAAGACAACTTACCCATACAATGTGGAATTATATATCCTACAAGACCCTCGATTCCCATAGTCGTTGGTAGACCACTTCATACACGCTCTATCAATCAGAGCCCCAAAATATATAGGAGCTGGAATTCCTCCTGCAACATGAGATGAGAAGATGCCAAACCAAGGAACATGTTTCAAATGTAATTGGGTGATATTCCACATTGATACATTTTGGATTAAGTAAAAGCTGAAAATTTTGGAGGACTCTCCCATTGTTTTGGCTTAAATCTATTCGAGAATCAAGATTGTTAGGAATCTCAAAGGCTCAAACCACAAAGTAATATAGACGTCTCTTATTTACCCTCACCCTCCCAACACACATGGGGAAGAAGGAACATCATATGCCTGTACATTCTGTTCTTATAATGCCATTTATCTTACCATGCCAATGATTGGTAAAAAAGGAGAATGTTGACAGTAAAACAGGGAAGTTATGTTGGTTCATATGTAATTTTTCTTAGGCAAGGAGAGCTGGAATAGTGGGAGTAGAATTATAACCTCACAGAGAAAGGAAAAAGCACTCAGTTCAACCACAAAAAGGCAGGAGATTCTCCAACTCTATTTTTAAGAAAATGAAAAAGTGAAGGCAACACTAGGATTCCCTCCCCAGAGAAGCACAGGCCCAGTTCACAGAGTGCTGGGCTCCTGGCGGGTCATCCCTCTCTCTCCGCTCAGAGCTCTGCTTCCTTAGAGCTCACATCCTGCATTTTCTCTCCCGTGATGGCATTTTAATCCCTCCTGAAGCAGCCTGGGCTGTCCAAGGTGGGCCCTGTGGTGCTGAATTTTGTTTCTGTTAATGTTCTGATCACAATAATGCCTATATGCACAATAATTCCAGTGTTCTGTGCCTAATCCAATTTTTATTTGTGGTATATGATTTTGCAGAATGTGTGGCTTTTCAGGAAACATATATTGCCCTACAGCAGAGGTGCCCATCTGCTCTTACTGCTATTTCAAGAAACTCTGAGACTGACTCCTAGTTCTAAGTATTGGTAATGTAACCAATATGTCAGGGACGTGCTAGTAGAGATCTAGCCTTCAGACAGCGGGACTGAAATAGTCATGATTTTACTTTGTTCTTTTTTATATTTTGACGAATGATTTTCAATTTTTATTTTGTTACATAAAAAATGGTAGCGATTTATATTTCACAATTTTACTGTTTCCATTTACTTTTAATCAGTCTCAATTTTCTGAGAGTAGACATCTTAGGATGACGAGAGACTGGTGTCTGGGGCCGACATATCTGAGGAAAACTGGTACTGAGAAAATGGGTGAGAAATTTGCAGGTTTCCACAAGTCACAGACACCCTTTGAAAAATGAAAAATATATGCCAATAATTAATTTTCCCCATATAATGCCACTGGTTTGACCAAACGATGATTTAAGTATTTTAGGCGACAAACTTGGCCTTAATCATTATTGGAATTTTAAAACTTTAAATAACCTCCATTACTTTCAGTTTAATACATTATATAGACCTTCCACAATTTACATATACGTTGTAGTTAAGACAATTGTTTGTGGATTGGAAGTTTGGTACTCAGTATGTATTTTTCCCATAGAAGCAGTTAGGTTCTCTTGTGTCATACATTGGACATATCAAAATAGGTGCTCACAATTAGGATGGCAAAATTCCTTTTTTCCTAATTTATGTCGCTAGAGGAACTTCCTCTATTATCAGTCTCATTTTAGCATATCAGAAGGAATACTAGATCCCCAGATTGCATTTTCTAGCCTAGATTCTGGGAGTGAGGCATCTCCATCAGATCTAGAGGAACTGCCAGTATGGACAGAGCCTGAGAGATTAGAGAAGCACAGAAGGGAATGCTGGGAAGAGAAGTGGAATGGAATCCTGCAGCATTTCCATCTTCTTCTCTCCCATGCCCTTTAGAGTTCCTCTTTTTACCTTTGAGGATCTGTGGCTTTCTCCCCAAATATACAACTTCTCCATTGTAATTTGGGCATAGAGTTATGTCCCTTCTGTTGCTTGCAAAGGGTCCCAGGGATTGACCCCTCCTACTTCTTTCTCCTTCTGCTATCAGTGGGCTCCCAGCCATGATCAGTCTTCCACCCCAATCCCTGGATGAATGAGGCCCTTTTCCTACTTCCCAGGAATAAGCATATAATGTCAACAGGTATTACAAAGGGACGCGCACAGGAGTTAGGTTAGAAGCTGTTAACTAGAGGAATCTGTACTGTCTACGCGGCGAATGGCAGTAAGGGAGAAAGGATGCTTTCCTAAATCTTACACTAATCACCTCGTTTGAATATTTAGAAATAGGCCTTTAACCTCTGGAGTATACAACCTTACTCTTTTACAGCAAAAACACAATTTCCTGAGCCTTCTTTTGTTCAGAACACTCCCGTATTCCAAGATGCTCAATTCTAGAGTTTTAGTTCTCATTCCCTCTTGCATTTTTAACTTCTGATCAAGATTAGCTGCCCCAGCCTTAGAGAACTAGGCAGCTGGAGTGGGGCAGTGAAAGTCCGCCTCTGTTGTTTCACAGTCTCAGCCTGACCAGATTCCCAGGCCTCCCAAGCTGTTTTGGGCATTATCTCCCTCATGTAGAAGGAAGGCCCTCCTCTCTGCCTGTGGGAAGAAATATTCCTAAATCTCAAAAAAGAAAAACTTTGAGAGACACTTATCTTTGTGTTAGAGTGTAAAACAAACATGATGATTCCTTTTTCTAATTCGACTTTAACTAGAATTATCAATCAAATTGTCTTTCAGGTCACTCAGTTTTCCTCTCTCTCTTATTTTTCATTTGCCACAAAAGAAAACGTTTTTTACTTATACTTTTTTTTTTACTTTCTTATAATTGGAAATTAATTGCATTCAGTCTTTAAGCTTTGACATAAAAATTTATATCTTGAATTTATAATCGTGTATTTGTCATACCTAGTGCTCGTATAATTAGTGCATGGAAACCCACTGCAAGTGATTTCAGTTCAGGTTGAACGGTTCTGAAATAAGATAAAGGCAAAGAAACATTAAACGTCTCTAAAATACCAAACTACAACCAATATTAAAACATTTCTGTGTCATTGTTCTTCATTATAAAATGAAAACCCTCAAGGGAATAGCTGACACTATTTAAAGTTATATTTTTAGTTGTTTTAAAAGGAAAACATCTGAATGATAATAGTTATTATTCCCTTATTTATTTAATGTGTTATGATTTCCGGACAATTTAACAAACATGTTCACATTTGATCCTTATGAAATCCTATGCGACAGTGGTTGGAACAGAATTTATTATGCCTGTGAAGAAACTGATTTTCTGTGTCTATTCAGTCAACACAGGCAATATGAGCAGATACTATAATCTAGGTCTAGGTGTTAGCAGAGCTTTTGACCATTGCTGTTAACAGAAAAGTTGACGAATATGATTCATGAACTACAGAATATAACCAGGAGGGTCAAAAAAGGTATCTGTATTGTAGCGTCTACTGTATTTAAATGTCGTTTTAAAGGTAGCAAGCACATTTGCATCTTCTCTGAGCAATTAACTCACTCTTGCATTTAGAAAGTTATTTTCACAATTCCATTTTTATATGTTCAATGACCTGATGACACTACCATCTCTGGGATAATCTAATACATATCAAGAAAAATGAATTATCTGGCAGGTGGGCAGAGGGTGAGTGAGGCTCTAAAATCCTGTTTTTGCTGAAATATTGAATTAATTGATGCAAAAGGTTATTTTTTTCTTGAACTGTTTGGATGACTGTATTTGTTCATAGAGATAAGTAGATTTAGTCATTTAACAAACATGTGTTAAGTGCCTCCTAGGAGATTCCATGCTAGTTCCTGTTCTTGAGAATAAAGAAATAAATGATGTTTCATATCAACTAAGTGACTTGGAGAAGTAATTTAACCTCTGTCAGACTCAGTGTCCTTATCTGTGGGTCCCAGGGCTCTTACTCAACATGGTCTAGGACATCTTTTCCTCACATCCAGTCTCCCACTGCTTTTCCATCACCCAAATTCTTCCATTATATCCCCGGGAACTCATAGTCTGTTACCAGCAAAATCCTTAGATCCTATGGTCTTAGGAGTCCCATCACTTTCTTGTTCTAAACAAACCTGGCTGTCCCCCATGGCTCTCTTTCCAGGCAACTGTCTCAAGAGAGAGCTATTTTCTCTCCCACATCCTGTGTAGCTCTGGGCCTGAAGTGTAGGTGTCCTTCTTGTTGTTTTTTACTGCTTCCAGGCCCACGTGCTCCCTCTGAAAGACCTCTGACTTCTCTCAACAGGTGCACCATCCTAATATACCATTCCCTACCCTCCTTGCTGCAGTACCTATACACTTGCACATCACTACCCCCGTCATTCCCTGATGACTTTAGTACTAGGCTCTCCATCATTTTTTCCAAAACTATTTTTACCACTTTTACTAGGTATTTTAATATCCATGTAGACTATCCTCGCAATGCTCTGACCTCCCAGTTTCTTGCCTTCTTCACGCCATCGGTCTTGTCTCCCCCTTCCCATGGTCATGCCTACCAGTACACACTTCCCTAGCTGTCAGTTTAGAGCACCCCCCTTTATTTTCACCTCTTAACTTTTAAATTCACTCCCACTAATAAACCAACAAGCCTCAGCCCCACAGAGGTCTTCAGGCCCTTGACTGTCCCACCTTTTCACAGGCCATCTCCATTGTCATGTCCTGGCGTCCTTTCTCATCATGGTCTCTCATTCTAATCACTCCTTTCATATAGTCTGCACTTTCTCGTCCTTCTCATCCTGGGCTGTCCCAGACAAACAAAAATGCTTTCATTCTACCTCTGCCTTTTCTGCACCTATACCCAAAGAACTGCACTGGCTGGAGGAAGTCACCGGAACACGCTGACTGGGCTCATTTTCAATTCAAAAGCACAAACCCACAGGGGGCCTCCAGTGCAATCCTACGGTATTTTACTATTCCTTTTTCCCAGTCGGTTTATTCCCCCAATCTTCAAGATTACCAGTTCCCATTTCCTGATCTCATCTCAAGCCTCTTCCTTTTCCTCCTCACTCTCAGCTGATTACCTTGCTTTTTATTTAACAAAGAAAGTAAAATCAGTCAGGAAAGAATTTCAATACCCTTGCATCACTAAAGCTGCACACGTACATGACTTTTACCCCCATAGACGACCTTCCCTTCTATTTCAAAGTCTATGTACTTGTTCACATCCCTTTTCATCTTCCCCTGTAATTGTTCCCCGTCCTTCCTGCATTATCAGCTTCCTTCATCTCTACCAGATAATTGTCATCAGCATGTAAGCATGCTGTAATCTAGCATTAAGCATAAACAGAACTCGATGCCACACCCCTCTGCATTTTTGTTTGTATTTTTATTTGGTGAGGAAGATTAGCCCTGAGCTAACCTCTGTTGCCAGTCCTCCTCTTTTTGCTGAGGAAGATTGACTCTGGGCTAAGATCCACGCCCATCTTCCTCTACTTTGTATGTGGGAAGCCTGCCACAGCATGGCTTGATAAGCTGTGCGTATGTCTGCGCCTGAGATCCAAACCTGCCAACCCCGGACTGCCAAAGCAGAGCGTGCAAACTTAACCACTACCCGGTGGCTGACCCCCCTCTCGCATCCACTTCTTTTTATAACACTATTCCTAAAGAATTTTTCCTACTGGCTATCTTCACTTCCCTTTCTAGCATTTTTTTTTTTTTATGATCCTTTCCAAAGTAGTTTTTCTTCCTCTCACCTTCACGTACTATTTTTGTTAAGGCTGACAGTGACCAGTCCGTAATAAAATCCAATGGCTACTTCCTAGACCTTAACTTCCATGAACTCTCAGCAGCTGTTGACACATTGCTGATCCCTTCCTTCTTGATGCATTCTTCATTTGGCTTTTGGGACACAGCCTTCCCTTGGTTCTTCTCCGATTCCATGGGATCTCCTTCTCAATTTCCTTCACTGGATTCTCCCCTGTTCTTGATCTCTGAAGCTAGAGTGCCTGAATCTTGGTCCTAGGATCATGTTTCTGTCTGCACTCGATCCCTAGAAGACCTCAACAGTGCCATGCATTTAAATACCGTCTGTATATTGCTGATTCTGCAATTTATGTATCTGGTTCCAATATTTCTCTGAATGACAGGTTGTATATGTGACATTGTGACTGCATATCTAATAGGCATTCAGGCTTACAGGAATAGAACAAATTCTTGTGTCTCCACTTCCTCCAACCTACTCTTCCCTGGTCTTCCCCAGTCTGTTCAATAGCACCACAATCCTCCACGAGCTCAGGCCAGAACCTTGGGATCATCCTTAAATTTTCTTTCTTATGTAACTCTTAATCCATCAGTAAATCCTATTGACTTTGCCTTCAAAACAAACAAAGACTGAGACTCAGATCATTTCCCACTTTCTTTACCATCAGCATCCTCAATCAAGTTCCCATCCTGTGAAGAACTATCATAGCCTTCTGTTTCTCCCTGATTCCATACTTTCCTCCCCAAAAACATGTCCTTCACACAACAGCCAGAGGGATTTTCTAAATGGATAAGTCAGTTGTATAATTCTAATGCTCAAATCTCTCCACTGGCTTCTCAATACTATTAGAATAAACTCCAAATTCTTTACTATGACCCACAGGGTCTATGTTATCTGGACCATGCTAGCTCTCTCATTGCATGTTTTACCTCTCTCTTCCGCACACACTCCTTCTGATCTTGTACATGTCAGGCATGCTCCACTTCAGGGCCTTTACTTTTGCTGTTACTTGGCCTGGATTGCTCTTCACTTGTTGCTGTATCAGCATGGCTTCTACCCTCAATCTTTATTCAAGTCTCTGATCAAATGACCTCCAATGCACAATATCTGAATTAGTACTGCTTATCTGTCCCTGCCCCTTTTCTTTCCTTCTTCTTTTTTTTTTTTCTCATCTGGTTATTCTCATCTATGGTCTTATCTTTCCTTCTCTGGGGGCACATCAAGCCAAGCTGTGGCGGCAGTGGGATGGGGGTCCTAAGATAGATCCTGCCATTACCAGTTACAGAGATGGAGGGTGATCAAAATCGTAGTTAATGAAGATGAAGTGTGCTTGCTTCCTCACCAAAGTTTAGTAATGGAGGGCTCTACCAAGTCCAAACTTTTAAGGATTCAGAGGGTTGGCTGAGCCTTCATATACTTGGGAAGGGAAAGTCAGAAATCCACATCTCTTTAAAAAAATGTTTTGAAATTATTTCAGACTTGCAGAAAAGTTGAAAGAATAGTACAAAGAATTCCTTCCTAATTCCCTTTGCCCCGATTTCCAAACATTAATATTTTATTACCTTTTCTACATTCTTCTTCTGATTTATTTTTCTTCATAATGCTTAACACTTCTTCTGTTTTACATATTTACTTGCTTATTTATTTATTGTTTCTTCTCCTACACCCATCCACCTCCCCATCCCTCACCCCCACTGGAAGCTAATGAAAGCAGGGCCTTTATCACTTTTGTTCACAGTTCTGTCCTCAGCACCTAGAACTGTGCCTGGCACGTATCATACATCTTTACCAAATGAGTAAATATCATCACTCCTGCTTAGTCTAGTTTTAACAGTAGCCTTATGACATAAGCGTCGGACTATTATTACAGACTGAAGTTTATATTTTTATTCTACAGTCTGCTTCACATAAGTTTTCTTTCAATAAAATTGAAGGCTGATGAGAGATCAATAAATGTTTTTGATAAATGGTAATGTTGATCTTAACCACTTTCTTAACAAGATAAATCTATCATCAATATGGAATGGTGATCTCTAAAACCCTTTTTCTCCTTATGAAAGATTTTAAATTAAGAAGCTAAAACTTGTTGAGATGCAAGCTAATACGGAGTTTTGAGATAATGTCCTGTAAGTTAATGAATCTGTAATCTGGCAAATATGGGAGACTTCTCCTTTTGAGTAGACAACATTTTATATGAAGGTGGTGCTACGTCTGTGGAATAAATTACTATAAATAATTTGACAAGATTTGGAGTCAGAGTAGAATTTAAACAACTGAAGACTCAGTTTATAGGTCTGTACTCACTTTAGCAAAAGTTAAAACATTTGTTTTCTTTCTCTTCTATGTCATGCTGTTGGCTGACAGTGAATCTGTGGTCAACTACTCAGGTCTTAAAAATATAATTAGATGTTAACCCAGGTCACCACGGTTATACTTGTATATTTTTAAGACCTACATACAAGTCTTTATATGTTTTCAGTTTTAGGTGATTGTATGATTAACTTTGCCAATAGGGCTTATATTATTTGCTCCCTTCCCAGCTCTCCAATTTTATCTTGTGCCATCTCTCTATCTCCATATGTTTCAACCAACTGCTTCTTTTTATTCATCAAACACAGTAGCTCTTTCCTGCCTGGAAGGAATTGGCACCTAGAGTCTCTTCCTGTAAAGTTCTTCATTTGCTTAAATTTAACTTATCCTCTAGATCTTTAGATTAAATGTCACTTTTTTTGAGAAGTACTTTCTGAGTCCTCCTCCTCAGCTCTCCTCACCTCAACCCTAAATTAGGTTTCCCTTTGTCTTCCCTTTAATAGTACTCTTCTTCATTATTAGTACTAACCACAATTTCTAATTATGTGTTTATGTTTAAGCTTATTTTTCTCGTGTCTTTCCCGTCCTACTCTAAGCTGTGTGAGAACAGGTACTTTGTGTTATTCACCACGGAATATTCTTTATCGAGCATGGTCTAAATATTTGTCTAATGAGTGAAGAAAGAGATGAATTCTGTTCATATATTTTTCTCTTTTCTACGAGGGTATTGTGAGAAACTAGGTCAAAACCATCCTGAAGGTGGATTAAATCCTTTGGAATATCATAGACTGAAGTACGTTATACAGGCTGGTTCCCAAATGTTTCCTTTCAATGAAATCTAGGAGTGATTTACTCTGACAGGCCCATCAGGATGTAAGGCATCTCAAAATTAGAAATTCTTTTAGAATCACACAGGCATTCTTTCACGATTGAGGCAACTGTCAGTCTGTCCTTTAAAATTCTTTGTAAGATGAGAAAGTATGGAATCTAGATTTTGTGATGGAAGAATCAGACAAAATTATTATTAATTATGGCATTGAAGTATCACAATAATGCTAAGAAAATGCATTCTTAGAAAATTAAAATGTAACAAAATATGAATTTGGTTTCCAAATATGTTATGAAAAATATGTACATTTATTAGGTATATTTATAGTCTAATACATTAAACTATTTTAATAAATCATACTCACTTAAAAATCAGCATGAAAATTGAGGTGCCTCCCAATGCAGCAAAAAAATTATGCAAGACTTGCACTGCTATATAAAAATAAAATTTTCTTTTACATTGATCCTCTCTTGGGCATTCACCCAAGCGAACTGAGTTATTTGTGTTCTGGAAACCAGTCACTTCCACACAACTACAGTTATAAAACACCTAAAAAATAATTTTTGAAATATTACAGAATATATTTACAAAATCTGACTGGGCTATAGGAACATTCCGTTATATTTAAGGAAGTCTCATTTATTCAAGCTAAAATATTTACAGTTTTTAAAGAAAACAGTCTAAAAATACAGTTGCTTAATAGTTGAAAGGCAAAATAATTTTCTGGATTCTTTTCTAGACAAGAAAATGCAATTCACTGTTAACATTTAATTCCTTCCTCATTTAAAACATAGAAAAGAAGAGAAGAAATTAGTGTCTGAAACTCTGTATATAATTTTTACATTAATATAAATTCTTTTTACTATTTCTCTCCCACTCACTTTTACTTTCCATAACACACTTACTTATGCTCTTTAACAGTGTCTGTAAGTGTCAGGAACTTTCCTTGGGGAGGGATTACCCAGGGAATCCAGAAAATATAGTGGTTTGGGAGGGGCCAAAACCTGGGACTAGAGCTACCGATCAGAGGGGGCAGAGTCCCAGGGAAAAGGAGCCAGGCAGGGGTGCTGTAATTCTACTTTGGCCAGCAAACACAACATCCCAGAGCATAATGACAGATTACATGGTAGATGATGTTGTTACCAGAGACGTTCAACACAACAGAATACCCTAATAGTTAGAGCATGGAAAGGGAAAACTTAGGAACAAATGATTTTAGAGATTTAATTTGGCAGACATTCTATGTAGTAAATAGGTGACTCTAACAAATTTTGTTCTGAATCTAGTCTAAACTAAGGTTTAAGGGAATTTCGAACTTGTTCGTGCTAAAGAATGATTATTGAAAGAGAATTGAGGAACAATTTGAATCCATACTTATCTGATGACCAAGCTTTACTTTTCACTAGGAATAATTTGGAGGAATCCTTTATGTAGCAATCCTACTGGCCAATAAAACCAAACATCGGTACAAAGAACATTATTTTCAGTGATTAAAAAGGGATGATTTATTACTGAGTATTTGATAAAAGAAGTCCCCAGTAGCCCCCAAATGGTATAGTCATTGCCAGTATTAAGAAGATGATGTCTCCACAGCAGACAGAGCTCTCTTTAGGATTCTAACATCATGTGTCTTCCAGGCCTTCGCTGATGGGCAAAGTGGGACCATGGATTAAGTGGGGCACTCTCAGTGAAAGGCACTATCGTCATGAATATGACATGTGGGTTTTTAAGTATAGTCCTTGGGCCATATTTGTACAAATTTATGGCCCAGCGTCGTAGAATCTAGGTGCTTTATTCTTCAAAGTTGTCAGTGCCCTTCAATAATACAGTTAGTAGGACTATGGAGAAGAGAAAGATGGAAAAAGCTGGAAAATCAAAGACAGAGGTATATGGTAGAGACCAATGATCATAGCTGATTATATTGCCAAAGTTAGTGATAGGAAAAGGGTCCAGGAAATGGCTCCCCAACTTTGTGAGATATTCAGTGGATTGGAGGTAGAATAGAGAACACCATACTGGGAGAACCCATAGTTTGCATGAAAGGGAATATTTTGAGTAAAGAAGCAGTTGGCATTTCTATGGGGGATGTTAGCAATAGGTAAGCAGAAATACGAAGTTAATCTGGGTGGGAGAAGTGCCAGCCTTGGGGAAATCAAAACTGGAAGGCAAGAATTGGTCAGTCAAGTGAGCATGAAGCCTTGATTAATTTCTTGGCAAGTCAAGAGGTAATGAGTCTAGAGATAAACTCGTCAGAATAAACTCGTCAGAATCTATATGCAAAATTGCATATTGATTGCTGTCCTGGAAGGCAGGTAGTGCTGACAAGGGGTCAGCTCAGGACTTTTCCCTAACTTCTGAAAGGTAACATTCCTCCAACTTAATGGAAATTATATCCTTTAGTCAAATGAGGTGCTCCCTAGAGATCCTAAATGCAGTTAAATTCCAAAAGGTCATATTCTTACAAACTTAATGGGAAAAAGTGAGAATAATCTCAAATGAGAATTCAAGCAACCGGAAAACCTGTTTGTGTCCCAAGCATGATTTTGTATGAGGCTCTGTTTATACAAAATGACAGCTGTCACAACGACAGACAATATTAGGAGTCCTTTTCTCTTATCATTTTACTGGAGACCTTAGTTATTTACAGAAAGATTTGATAAGTAATTGTTAAATCAAATCTGCAATTTTGATTAAGGAGAGGAGAGGAAGTAAAAACTAATACTCACTATTGGCTTTTTATTGCCGCTTGAAGATTTGCATCCTGCTAGACAAGGTGAGATGTAAGTGATTCCATTGTCCCCACAGACTGGTTCCCATTGATTTTGATCACAATTGCAGTCTGAGTTGCAATAAGAAAGTGGTACATTTATATGAGATGCCACTGGACTAATTCTGAAAATACATGATAGATATACATCAGAAAGAGAGACAGAGAAAGAAGAAGGAGGAGGAAGAGGAGGAGGAGAAGAGAAGAGAAAAGAGGGAAGGGAAGAGGAGGAGAGAGGAGAGAGGAGAGAGGAGAAATAAGGGAGAGTGTCCTTTAATTGGATAGAGAAATTGGATGAGTGATGACACCAACATGGCTAAGATTTTTTGGTGTTTGTTAACTTTTTCACCCTCCGTGTTTACCCAGACATGATTTACAACCCAGAAAAAGTAAAACATAAAACGAAACCAAAGGGGTCAGCCTGGTGGCATAGCGGTTAAGTGCACGCATTCGGCTATGGTTGCCCAGGGTTTGGATCCCGGGCCTCACTGATGCACCACTTGTCAGGCCATGCTGTGGTAGCGTCACACATAAAGTGGAGGAAAATGGCCACGGATGTTAGCCCAGGGCCAGTCTTCCTCAGCAAAAAGAGGAGAATTGGCATGGATGTTAGCTCAGGGCTGATCTTCCTCACAAAAATACAAAAGCAAAAAGAACCCAAAGAAGACAGGTAAGACTTAGACAAGATGTCTTTGTGATTCTATCAAGAAATTCCTCATTATGTAAGTCACATCATTTTTCTGACTCTGTTACTCTTCAGTAAGGTAATGATATTAGACTACCTTTCCTCCCAGGGCACTGTAAAGTCCCATGAATCTGTGAATGTTATTTGACTGGGTTGAGACTGGGTTGAATTTAGAAATCTATATTTTAACTACATAAGAAAGGTATTTGACACGGTCAAAGTAGAACCCCTAAGGATCAATTTTTAAAAATCAAGAATAAAAAAATCAGTTGAGAAAGACTAGGAAAACTCCATATACTTTTAAAATGAAACTACAACATACTTTATAATGATTTACTGTAAACATGGTTATATTTATAAAATATAATCTTATAACTTGGCTAAAATTATAACAGATTATTTGTATGATTAATTTTCTGCTTATAGATTTTTAAAATTATTCGTTTTTGGTAAAAATCTTGATAATAATTGAAGATTGAGGAATTATCTTTAAATCAGAAAGTAATTTGCCTAAAGAAAGAAAAAATAGATTCAGAAATTCTATTATCAATAATTTTACTAAAAAGCATCTAATACTTAATTCTGCTTAGGGACGTATGATGGGGCGTGGGGGGGACATAATGACTAATGACCAAGTCCAGATATTCCAATCAGATACTCTTATGTTCGCATTAGTTCTGCTACTTCACAGCAATGTGACTACTCTTTCTGAAAACAGTTTTGCCATTCTTAAGTCATAGATAATAAATCAACTTCATAGGAGTTTTTCTGGAAAAAAATTATTTGGCAGTCCTCAAACTTTTTGTTCTCAGCGGCCCTTCATACTCTTAAAAAGTCTTGAGGGCCTCAAAGATTTTCTGTTCAAGTAGGGTAAATCTATTGACATGTACTCTATTAGAAATTAATACTGAGAAAATTTTAATACATGAGAATACACAAGCACACGTCATTAGCCATCAGACTGATGTTATCGTCACATATCTGTAGCCTTAGAAAATATCACTATATACTCTTGAGAAAATGAGAATGAAAAAGGCAAGTACCATCTTGGTATTATTATAAAAATAGGTTAGAATTCGTTGACCCTCTGAGAAGGTCTGACAAACCCCTATAGACCCTCAGACCACATACTGAGAAGCTCTGAGCTAATTCATACTTTAAAAACTTACCCCAGTGACTAGCATTTCACAAATGCTGAATACACTCATTCTGTTATTTGCTATCATTAGGCTATGAGTTCCACAAGGGCACTGACGTATCCTATAAATCTTCTTCGCCTTAAGGAGGCGTTCAGTAAAATTTTACTGAATGAAAAGAAAATCCCGTAGAACTCTAGCTGCCTTCTTTTACATGACGGCACAGCTACTTTACCTGTTTTCAGGGAACTGGCTTTAGGCTAAAGCCTGCCCTGACACCCAGGGGGGCCTTGGAACTAACGATGTGGTCGGTATAGCATCAGTCTGGAGTCATTGTATGACTTCAAAGAAGTCAGTTTCTCTGGCTCTCAATTAATAGAGAGGAAGGATTTAAAAGAGTTGGGCTGCATGATCTCCAAGGTTCTTTTACCTGTAAAGTCCAACATTCTAGGTACTCTGTATTTTGATTTACCAGAGTGGGTGATGATGGATAGGAATAATCAACAACAGTCAGGATTAGGAGGAAGCAGGGAGACAATTCAGGGCTAAGTTGGCAAGTCTCCAAGAATAGGATGATATTTAGGTAAGGAAATCTGGGAAGGTTTGACAAGTTAAAATTGACACCTCATAGGATCCAGAGTTTAAAAGCTCAATGCCAACGATAAGCAGCACTAAGGAGCATGATTACTGAGCTGTGATCCAAGAATCTTTCTTTGTTGCTTAAATGTGAACCTTCCTAAGCTTCAGTTGATAGCTATAGTCAGGAGATGGTAAGAAATCTGCACAGGAATCTTGCCTTTAATTTAAGGTAGAGACCATAGTACTAGGAATACTTCACAATACTTGATGATAATGGAAAAGGTTTTCTAGGGTGTAATATATGATTATACACAGGATACTTATTTATTTTACTTCTAATGAAGACAAAACCAGAAGAAAATTATAAGCTTGCAGAAAAGGAGAATTCAGCACAATGTAAGGAAGTGTTTTCTTGTAAAGATAGTTGTTAAATATCAAAATTAACCGTAGATAAAAATCATTCAGTCACTTTTGGAAAATGTCTTTTATATCCTGCTCATGATCCTTCCAAGCTTGTAGTGGTTGAGAGTAAGAGTTTTGGAGTCAAAAACCCCAAATCTGAGTCAGAATCTTAACATCACAAGACGTGGAATCTCTGCATGTCTTTAAGCCTTGCTTTCTCTATCTATAAAATGAGGATGAAAGTACCCGCCACTCATTGTAAGCACCAATAAGTGATAGCTATTATTGTTACAATCTATGTTGCTTTTCTTTAAGGAAGGAATAAAAGGAGAGCTTTTTGAGATCTTAAGAAATGGACGTTTTAAGAATTTGTAAGATGAAATTTCTCTCAACTAAAAGAAAGTTTAGTTAAAATTGCTATCATCTGCCATGTTTTCTTTACGGAGTCTTCTACATTGTAGAGTTTACACATTATGCAATTGATGTATACACACCCATCATAGGTCAGGGTTAGGCCAGCAACTGGTTTGCTTTCACAGACTAGCACATAATTTAACAGGTGAAATGTGAAGGCCACCAAATTGGTAAAAAGTGAAAATTTGGCAAATCCAAGCAAGGTAAATTTGAATTTTTTAATGATATATCCTCCTGTGAACAATCCAACTGCAACAGTCGGTACGGCTACCATCCCTAGAAATAAGAGAAAATATTGTAATTATATAAATATGATTATTCTGAAATGTCTTTACATACGAAACAGTGTGTATCAATCAAATTCATCTAATTTTATTATTTCTTAAGTAGAAGGCTGGCAGGATGGAGGTAGGGTACCAGTGTACCATATGGGAGAGATAAAAATAATTTCTTCCTGCCAATGCTGAGGGTTTGGTTTCCCCAACAGCAAACAAAAGGCAGTGACTGAGAATATTTGTATGTCTGAACAGACTGTTTCTATGAGGTGCTTTTTTTTCCCGAAAAACAACAACAAAACATCACTTATTCCTACTTATGTGACTTTCATTCTACCACCTAGAATCCTCTACATCTCCTCAAAATGAAGAGCTCTGATCCTTAAAAACTAACTCCAAATTTGCCCAGGACTTTAGAATTGAATACTTGAATTAATATCTCTTCTTTATTCTTCCTAACACACATATACTCTGAGATGTTAAACAGGCCTATATACGGTGTTAAAAATGATTGATCCTCCTTATAACTTTTTCATTTCATTGTCCTGCAAGAGTTATTAAAGATGAAGACCCTTCTAACAAATAAATTCAGGCTAAGAACTTTATTGGGAGTCAAATTTAACTTTTACAGTTTAAATTTTTATCTTAACTTCAATAAGAGCATCATAGAGAATTATTGTCTTGTTTTCCTATGACCTACTCTCATACCACTTGATAAGTTCAGTTTGATGTATCAAATGTTTATTGAGTTTCTTCAATGTGCTGGGCACTGTACAGGATAACGTACATTCTTAAGAATATAATAATAATAATAATAAAAGATGCTGCTCTTAGAATCTTATATTGTACTGGGGGTAGGGGAAGAACGATATAAGAAAACCTTTCCCTCATAAGCAAGTCTCAATATGTCATTGGAAATAGATAATGCAGCAAAAAACCTCTCTAAAATACAATATTTGTTTTGAATTATGTAGATATCAACCACGAGTTAAAATTGATTTTTCCTTGGGAAACATCAATGTCCTATCTTTTGCAAGTAGCTGGGTCCTGATTCAAAGTCCATCAATTATGGAATTATAATAATTACATTACAAAAGGATTTGTCTCAGGACCTCAGCACTAAATTATAAGATCCAATTATGCAGATACCATGTCTAAATATTTCATTTACAGGCCCCTTTTCCGTCAGGAATTCATCTCAAAAATGACATGAGATGCAACTTCAAATGCAGAACAATGATGACACCACAAGATGGACAAGTTTGATAAGACTTGGGAAAGAATAAATGGAAATTACATTTCTTAAGATATGAAATTGCCTTCACAACAAAAAGTCAGCCAGAAATCAATTACTTGGGAATATTGCTTATCAAGCAAACAGGAACGACGTGTCTTACCAAACAAAATGTTGGTCTCAGATGCGGACTGACCATACTGCTGTTCCACGTATTTGAAGGCATAAGTAACAGCACCAATAAAGCTGCTGATTTGTAGCCACATCAAAACCAATACTATAACATATAGGGGATTGGTAAGGATGCTTTTCAAGGACTCGATGAAACCTATAATAAACATAAAAATAAAGAAAATATTATAATGCAGCTTAAACATCTATTACTATTTTAATCTTATAAAAATAAGTTACATAAGATTTGAAATTACGTAAACTCTTAACACAGAAAGTCACAGGACCCTGCAATCCTACTCTCCACAGTTTTTTGTATATTCCTTCCATTTATTCCATATGTTTCCACTGTACCAAACTAAATCCATAAAAAGGAGTGGATTGTCTAAACCCATAAGGAGCATGGTTGACTGTGAGCCTGAAAAGAATGGATATTATTAATACCACATTTAATTAGTTAGTTCATTTTACCCCAAAATGGGATCATACACACATACTGTTTTGCAGCTTGGTTTGTTCACTTCATATTTGGTTATTAGCACTCTACTGTACAATTGCATACATCATTAATTCACTTAATCATTCATTCAACAAATATTTGGTTTTCCATTGGGTACCAGGCAATATGTTAGGTGTTCAAGAAACAAAATTGATTAAGACATGTAATGTCTCTTACTTGTTAGTACTTAATAATAATATAATTATATTAATAATATAATTATTAAGTAAAAATTTGCCATTAAGATAGCATAATCCAAAGCTCACAGAAATAAGAAGACTAAGGTTGAAAAATCATAAAGATCAATTTAGTACCAGGGTTCAGATCTCTTGTTTCCTGGTACCTGGTATACAGCTTTTTCTACCATAAAATACAGTCTCAGTAAATCTGTCAGTTAGAAATTACCCTTCTTAAGGTGCAAGGAGAGGCAGAGGATAATGATGTTGTGTCTCAAGTGACATTATCACAATAATAGTACAAGAACCTGTGCCTACAAATAGGTGTGTAACAAATTCGTAACTTCTGTCTATGACAAGAATTATGTGATCTGGGTGTGTGATCAGCAGGTCAATAAACTCTAATCAGAGCTAAAAGTGAAAGGAACTACTTAGAAAAACAGTAGGAAGTATCAGAGTCTAGCAAGACAGAACCAGATATGGTTATTAAAAGATGAATGGTATGGACTTGGAAAGATCTGGCTCTATAGATCTCTCAACATTTCAATTAGATATGGTCAGAACTAAGCCCTCTATCCAGTGGCAACTAAGAAACAGTTTCATCTGCTTATAATAAGAAGAAAAGAGAGTTATAATAAGAATAAAAGAGAGTTAGGGCAAAGGGCATAGAAGAGATAAAAAGAAGAGGTAAGGAAATTTATAGCAGGAATAAATAACATTTAAAATCGTTTGACCAAAACGCCCAACTTCTCCCCAGGGGACTTCCTAATGAGGAAGGACCACTGTCTTGTGAGGCATTTTAAGTGAGTTGTGAGATCTGATTAAAGGAAATGGAGCATATGGGTTCACCAAATCATTGAATTTTTGAGGTGGGTGGGAACTTGGATGTTATCTAGTCTGAACTTCCACACAATCATGATCCACTATCGGACGCATCGTGGATCCTATAATTGGATCAAAGAACAACTCAAGTGACATTAAGCTGACTAACTCAGAAAGAAATTTGCTTCATTTTTGGACAATTCTCATTGTTTACCAATTGTTTTTGTAATGAACTGAAATTTTTATTTCTTTCAAATCAGTTAGTCTTATTTCTACTCAAGAACTTATAGAGCAAATCCAATATTGTCTTTTTTCTAACTAAATGTTCTTAGTTATTTCATCCATTCCTAATAGCATATAATTAAGGACCTCTTTACTATTCTGGTCGTTATTCTACAAATACAGTTGATAATATAAATGAGGCTTACAATTGTCCTGTTTTTGCGTCTTCATTATTCTCTCCATTCTTTTCCGCCTCACAGTCAACCATGTTCTTTATGGGTTTAGACAATCCATTCCTTTTTATGGATTTAATTTGGTACAGCGGAAAAGTAGCATAGACCAAATGAAAATTCTTGGTATGTTAGTTTTAGTGTATGCTTGGTATGCTATTTTGAATTTCAAAAACTTGTAAGTCAGTGACGCTCTGGTAAATGTTTAACAACTGACTCTTGGGGAAACAGGGCCTGATTTGTAGTATTTCCCAATTTCTGTGGTAATAAATGGTAGTAAATTCTCCCACCATGGCCAATTTCAAGCGACCAGTGTAGCTGAAGATTGAACAGTCCTCTCTCAGGAGCCAACTCAAGCTGGCTCCAGCACATCCTTGCTTTTAGAGTAGAGCGAGGGGGAGGAGAAAGTAACGATGAAATGAATGAGTGGAAGAACTGAAACTGTGTTGTCACTTCAACTTCAACTTGCAAATGTCGCCAAGGGTTTCGGCATTGCTCTGCTTTGACTTTTACTCCCCCACCATCTCTGCGCAATCTGAAAACGGCGCTGTTAACACCTCATGGCTTCAGCTGTCTTGCTCTGGCTGCTGCTGGATCCTTCTCCAAGTTATTGCTCCTAGACTGGTCTTGACTGGCCCTCAGGGCTGACGTGTGAAAGGGGAGGCACTATCAAATGGGAGGATCCGTATTCACATGATTGACTGATAATCTTGACTACCAATGTTGCTTCTATTTCATGTTTAAATATTTAGGCAAGCAAAATTTTTTCTATATAATTACCAAGAAAATAATCTTACGCCAATTATCTAGAGAGAAACTTCCTCTGACTTCTTTCTCCTTATTCCTTCGCTCCACCTACTGAGAATTAAGTTTCCCAATCTATAGGCATTCATAATTCCTTATATTAACTTTACCATAGTACTTAAACACTGTATTGAAATTGTCTATATATTTCTTGGTACAACCCACTGTAAATTGTAAATTCTTGAAAAATAGAGGGAATATTCTATCACCAGAGCATATTATAGGGCCTGGTACTATTTGTGAATGAACGAGCAAATGAATGAACGAATGAAATATTACAGTCCTTTTAACCCTCATAATTTACACTGTATAATTTTAAAATGAATATACGCTCTTTGGTTTATGAGTAACATATATTTTTAGCCTTTTGTTTCTCCCGGCTAAAGACCACAAACCTAATCATCCTCTCTTCAGTGAGTTGGTATGTGTTCAGAAAATATTTACTAATTTTAATAGAAATCTTAGAAAAATAATTCAGCTAAATTTAGTGCAGGAGAAAGCTAACTCCAGTTCATTGGGTATGACTCATAATTGGAGTATCGGAATACTCACTCCTCCCTTTTACTGGGATTAACAATTCCAAATTGACTATCAATGTGAAATACTTACCAGTTATATTTCCAGTAACCTTTTGCCCAGGGTTGGTCAAATTAGCCATTTGACTTCTTTCCTCATTTGTTTTGAGCGCATGCAAAGATACTGAAACTTTCCTTTCTTTCTGTGGTTTATCCAGACTTTTGGGCAAGAAAAAAAATGGTATGGAAGAAATAATGGATAACAGTCCAGCCACAAGGAAACCGAGCCACCAAGCACCAACCCAGCGAGAGTCCTTAGGAGTTATTCTGATACTGCCTAGAAGAAAGAATTAGAAGAAGCTAGTCAAAAATCATTTTGGAATGCAATAAATCCTGGGCAATAATGGCAATGATTGCCATCCTCCACAGATGAAGAAAGTAAACTATATTTCATCAATTCTAAGACACTATTTTCTTTTTTTCACACTTTGTCACCTCTGAAATCAGGATGTCTAGCATTTAACGACATCTGACAATAACTGTTGTCCGAGAATCAGTCATGACATTGTTGTCACTGCCTGAGCCTGTGGAAAGTTGGTGGCTTTTCTAACGACATGACTGGACAGCTGCCATTATTGACAATTTAACCTTGCAAACTATTAAGGACCAAGTATGGAGGGCATATGAATCCTCGTTATTGCCTGAAAACTTTTATTGGCACCATTTGCCGAGGTCAGGAGAGCACCATCAGTGAAATTTACAGCAGTTTTTATGAAATTCTCAGAGCCAATAGTGGGACTTTTTTTTTTTTAACAGAAACTTGTATATCTAACTCTGACAGCACAGAGGATGATATTGGTGAAGATACACACACAATGAAAATCTGAGTTTAAAGGAGACCTAGAAGAGTTGGACTCTAAATTTTAGCGATAATTTAACCATTTTATTACAATTATGTTTTCCTTTAAAGCATGCATGAGAGATATGTAAATACTAAATCTAAACCAGTACAAATGAGCTATTTCAGTAAGTATAAAATAAACATTCTAAGTAATAAGAAAGCACAACACACATACACAGCATAGAAGTTTGAAGCACGATAACGGTGCCATTACTCTTTGGTCTATAAGAAAAACTCATTAACATGAGAAAATATTGACTTGATTTAAAACTATATAGAAACAAGTTATTCATTCTATTTATTGAAGTGATTTTCAAGTATGTACAGATCTAGGTTTAAAATTGATTTACATGATCATACTGTTCTATAATCAGCAACTCAGACAGACTGCAAGAAATGATTGGTGAAATCAGTGATTCCATCTAAGTGCTAAATGTTTCTTCACTGTCAACAACATCCTATGTCAAGTTATCCAAAAACAGGACAACTTGCTTCCTGTTTTATCACTGGTCTTCACATAGGAACTAGAGGTCATAACCTAGCTAGACATGGCATGCCAAAGTGTTTTCCTTGGCTCACACGCTATCTCAAAAATTAGAAAATTCTACATAAAAATCTGGATTTCTGGATTTTCTTGGAAACCAACCAGAAGATCTTGTCAAGGCTGGACCCAAATTTCTGCATGAAAAGAACAGGTTGAGGCTGAGTAGTACATGTGCTTTTGAGTGTGTGGAGAGGGCAGTTCAGCACCACCAGTTCTTCCCAGTGTAACCACCACACTCAATGCTCCGTACTCACTTAAGTTATCTCCTTGGCTCCTCCAGGCACTGGAGTTTGCCGAAGTGTACCTGGTAATATGTTTACGTCCTGCTCATGACTGAAGAAAAGAAGGTGTAATAAGGTCTAAACATTCAGTGGTAGGGATGTAAATCACCCAGAATTCTAAAATACCATGAGTAGTGACTTGTGACTATAGAAAAAAGGTTATAAAACTATCATCCTAAAGACATTAACCATTTATTTCTGTACTTCTAGTGATAAAAACAAGGATGAACCTGGAGGTGAATGAGTAGAAATGTACAGAATGTGGACCTTCACTAATTCACATGTCCGAAATAGAAGATATAAAACATTTCATCAGGTACTTGCTTTAGCTTTATATTATAAAACACTTTCAAGTTTGTGGCCTACTGTGGTGTCCACTCACTTTCATAAATGAATCCTTTGATCTCCTTGGAGATCTATTGAAGTCCTAGTGAGATAGAAAATCAGATTTGTTTATTCAGAAATACTAATTATGTATTAGATGTTAAGACAGATACGATCCTGTTATGTTCCAAAGGAGATGGCAAGTAAGTGCACAAATATTTACAGCTCAGTATGATAAGGGCTACAATAAAGGCTTGCTCTTGGTGATTAATAGGGGCACTTTGCGCCAATAAGGGTTGGTAAAGTAAGGCTTCTCTGAAGAGGAGCCACATTTTGGAAGACACTTTAAGAACTATGCAAATAAAAAAGGGAAAGAAAGTTTTCCAAGGGTAAACACAGAGAAGTGATATTACAGGGCACACTGAGAGGCCTGCAATTAGTTTGCCATTATTTTCAATGAAGTAATCTAAAGCAAGTTTGTTAAAATTTTCATATTTCATGCCTAGTTGTAAAAGCCTGGTGTAGTTGTTTTTATTCTGATTATTAATACGTTTATTTCCTATTTGTAACTTTTGACAAATAGCAAAGGACTTTTGAAAGAGTAAATTCAATTATTTGGAAGAATGGTGTTCTGTACTTGAAAGCCTTATCATGTCACCTTGTTCTGATTGTACTTACTCAGGTCTACATATCCAACATCCACCCACAGTTTAGCAAACTGAGATCCCAGGATGAAGCCAGTCACCGGACCAATCATTGCTATTGCATTCAGACTACCTGAGAATATTATAAAACAATTTTATCAGATGCCAAAAATACACGACTCCTATTCAATATGTTTTTTAAAGTAACGTTACATAATACATTTCCAAATAATTTTTTTAATAAGTAAAGGAATGAATTTAGGAATACTATTATTTCAAGGGTTGAGCCAGAGAAAGTAATCATATAATCTAGCATTTTCTGTACATTACCTAAATAAACAGAAGAATGTCCTTCTTCAGCAAAATCATCCAGGTAAGAAATCCCCAAGGGTCCTATGGGAGTTTCCCCAATTCCACGAAGCATATTGCCCATTAGGACATATACCCATGCATATGACCCAGATTCCTTTCCAGGACCTATGTAGACAAGATACTGTTTTATTTTAAACATTAATTTCAGCATTCCTATTAGAAACTCAACTACTTTAACTTCTTAATTATTCCACTTAAGAATTTGGCTTTTTTCTAATTATAAGAGTAATTTAAGCAACTAGAAGGCTGTACAACTATGACATACAACTATCTCCTGGGGCTTTGGGGGGAAAAAAAAAACTTAAGAAAAAAAGAGTAATCTATATTCACTTTACAAAATTTGAAAATATAGAAAAGCACAAAGAAAACAAGCAAAAATTATCTATAATCTCATCTCACACACCAAAAAACCACTTCTAATGTTTGTATATATCTTCACATTTTTAGTTCACATAAAAATATGAATAATATTCTTTACATACATTCTATACATAGACATCAAGTTCATATTATAATTTACTTTTACACATCATATTATGACAATTTCCATATGTTATTAAGATTCTTTTATATCAGGATTTTAATGACTACATAGGAGTGGGCTGAATAAAAGTTTCATAATTTATTTAATCAATCTCTTCCTTTTTACTCACAAAATATTTTTAATTTTTTATTCTGTTTAACAGGGATGCCATGGCTATGATCATCAATATATCTTTGTGCACATTCCTAATTAATCTCCTTAAGATAAATCAGTAAAAGTAGAATTGTTGATTTAGGTGTATATGCATATTTTTATTCTTTACTATGCTGAAAATTAATTTCCAAAAAGAGTTAGAAATTTATATACTCCCATCAATACATCAAAGTTGTCTTTTTCCTCTATCTCATTTCTTTTTTAATCTTTTCTATATAATAGGTAGA